TGCTTTTCCTGAGCCAGGTGGTTTGAAGAGCAGTTTTGAAGGGCAAGGGAGCTGGGGCTCCTTGCGGGGGCAGAGCTGCCCGAGGAGAAGCGGAGGGACCGGGGAAGAGCAGCAGGGTGATCAGGGAACGTCTGGAGGAGACGGGGGTCTGGGGCCGAAGTGGGAGGGTTCAGAGAAGCCAGACACTGCTCAGGCGGGTCATGGGCGCTGGCCTAGGACTTCTGTGGCCTGGGTAGGCTCGGCTTCTCTCCAAGGTGCTGACTCTGCATGGCTCCTGGCCAGGTCCTCGCCACTGGCCCGCAGCCCCTGAATCTGACCCACTGGAGGAGGCCTCTGGGGAGGAGAGGGAGGGGAGGGCAGCCAGGGCAGTGGTCCCCAGTGGGAAAGCCTGGAGGTCTGCTCCAGCGGAAGTGAGGGGGACTCAGGGTTGAGTGGCGGCTCCCTCACCCCCTGCCACCCCCACTGTCCCCCAGTGAGCCAGGGTCCTGGGCTCTGGGCAGACTGAAGCTGGGTCTCAGGATTGAGGTGGGGACCTGGGCACATGAACCCCACCTGCAGCCCTCCTGGGGTAAGGATCTGGGAGCCTGGGCGGAGCAGAATGTGGGACAGGCTCCACCCTGGGACAGCCCAGGGCCTTAGCAAAGGCCCCTCGTAACACCTCGTCCCTGCAGCGGTGGTTTCAGAGATCTCGGGGGACTTGGGGGATACCAGGTGGGGGTAAGAATAAGGACCCTGGAGGCACATTCCTGGCCCCAAGGGGGAGAGCAGGCCCAGGGATGGCAGGGAACAGCTGCTGTAAATCTGCGGCTTTGGGTCCCTGGCCTTCTCCCCTTGATCTGTCTTGCTCAGAGAAGGGGCGGAGGGGGCTAATCCCCCTGGCCACTGCCCCGCAGCCTGGCCCTGTCTCTGGGCCTTGGCCTCTGCCAGCTGCTACCAAAGTTTCTTTGTCTGGAGTTGGAGCCAAAGCCTCCGGGGCAGGAGGAGCCTTAATGCAGACATGTGGGTTAATCCAGAAAAGGTCAGCTCAGGGTTTGGGAGCTGGAGGCATCGCTCGGGAGATGGCACCCCTCGGGCCCCGCAAGCAGAGGTTGTCGGGAGAAATGGGTCTGCCATCCGAGGGGCCTGGGCCTGCACACTCGGGCTTGTCCCAGGGCCCTAGGCCTATGGAGCAGTGGCCTGAGGGTCAGCAGGTCTCTGGTCTGGTCCTAGCTCTGCTGTGTGGCTGTGGGCACATCCCTACCACTCTCTGAGCTTCATTTTTCTCCGTATACATGTGTCCTCATGGGCGGACAGGCACTTGTGAATGTGAATTACAAGGCGTAGATGGGAGAGCTGGGAAGTCAGACAAGGCAGTGGTGCAGGAGGGCTTCCTGGCGGAGGAGGGCTTGGGGCTGAACTGTGATGGCAAGGAAGGGGCACCTTGGCAGTGCAACAACACAAGAGAAAACAGCCATGTCTTGCCCACAGCACGGGGGACAGGGAGAAACGCCCTGAATGTGTCCATTGATCCCTGGTTCTGATCCTGTCACTAACCAGCGAATGAATCTCTTCCTCACCCTGGGCCTTGTGTTCCCTCTGTAACACAACAGAATCCACGGTCCCTTCCAGCCCTGCTCATCTGGGCTGGGGAGGAGGTGGGCCCAGCATCAGGACCAGGCCGGACAGGCGATGGGGAGCCATGGGAGGTTCTTGAGCACAGGGGTGCCTGACGAAAGGGTAATGGAGAGAAATGAGCTTGACAGTGGGGAGGAGTGAGAACTCAGGAGGTGGGAACGGACTTTGGAGAATCAAGCTGCCCAGTCAGGACCCGGAGAAAACGAAACTGGCCAGAGCAGAAGCCTCCGAGGGCATGTGTCCGATGAGCAGAGCCCATGGCCAGCGGACACCTCCCTGAGCCTCGCTGTGGGCGCCACCCAGGCTGTGGGCAGGAAGAGGGGAATGTGTGTGAACGCTGCGGTTCTCTCTTCCCGTCGCGTCTGACCCCAGAGCCTGGGGAGAGGCCAGAATTGCAGGCTGGGCACACCAGCTCCTGGGTCCCTGACCAGTAAACCCAGGTGCCCTCAGCCCTGGGCTGCTGCGGTCAGAGCACTGCCCACCTGCCAACGCTCAGATCTTTCTCCCTGCCGCACAGCTAATTGTGAACTCGCCTGTACCTTGTGTGTCTCTTGCTTTCAAAGTTCTTAGTAGTGAGTATTTTTCTCCAGGGAGGTGTTGGAGCTGGGACCAAGGTTTGACTGAAAGTAGGTGCCTGGCATTTAGGAGCAAGACAATGGGAAACTAGAGTGTGGGTGCGAAGGAGGCGGGCTTCTCCGCTGGTGCGGGACCGGGGGCCGGGGTCACTCAGCTGCACCTTCGCTCCCCACCCACCCATGGGGCTGAGGACGGCCTCGCCGGCTCTCCCGGGCGGGAGGGAGCAAGGGCTGTGCGGCTCACTTGACAGACGTGTCAGGAATGTGTCATCACGTCCCCGCCTGGCAAACACTGCCACCTGCCCTGCCCATTCATCCTCACTGACCCCTCATGCCACTGGGCCCCGAAACACAGCAGCTGCCTCCCATCCTACCTGTGGCCGAGCCCAGCAAACAGTTGGGCCACGAGGGAGCAAGTGCTCCTGCTTCTTGGACGAGCTTCTGTCTCCCTGGCACGCGGCCCAGGGTGTTGGCAGAAACTGTCCTAACGTGGCAGGCACAGGAGTTCTGGGGACGTGGATGGGGCAGGAGGCAGGCAAGGGGTGATCAGGGAAGGGTGGGGGCTGAGAGGGGCTCTCCCAGGTGGGGTCACCTGGGAAGAGGGTGTGGGCACAGGCCAGGGTGGGGACACAGGGGCAGCGCGGGCTGTGGGCGCTGCCTGGGTAAATAATGCGGGCCCACGGTCCACACGCATGTTTGCACAGAAGGACTTGAACCGATTCCAGGCCTGCCCTCTGTCCCCCACAACCCCGGCCCCCCTTTGTCCGTGCCCACCCCACCCCATCCTGACCTTTCCTTCCTTGTCACTTAAAGGAGCCTTTGAACGGGAAAGCCGAAGTCAAAGGGAACACCCTTCTCTCTGCCTCGGTAAATCTCAGGGCTGCCGAGTGAGGCCGAGGAGGTTGGCACCGCTCACGCCGCCGGGGCAGGAGGGAGCTGCTGTCCTGGGGGCTCCACTCGCCCGGCGTGCTCTCCAGAGGAAAGGGCCTCATTTCCTGAGCTGAACAGGGATGTGGGATGGGCCAGCCACAGTCCCAGGGAAGCTGGCGCATTTTCCAAATTGGGTTCTTTTCCCGTCTTACCAGCAAGTGCCACTGCTCCCGGCAGGACAGGGCAGCCCCACAGGGGACTGGAGCTGGGCAGGGAGTCCCCTCACTGTCCTGGGGCGCAATAAACTCCACCGTTAGGGTTGGCCAGCCCTTCCATCGGAGCCCCCCCCCCCACTGGCCAGATGCCTTTAAAACATGAACTCATGTCAGGATCCCCCCAGGGCCTGTGACCCCCTACTGCTGGGCCTTGTCCCCAACTTCTGGCCCAGTGCTCTGGGTGGGTCTGAGAATTCGCCTTACTAACCGGTTCTCAGCTGTGGGTGCTGCTGGTAAGACCATGTTCTGTGAGACTCTCTGCTTTTTTGCTTTTTTTCAATTTTTTTTTTTGCATTTATCTTGAGACAGAGCTGGAGGGAGAGAGGGAAGAAGAGAGAGAGAAACATGGATGTGAGAGAGACACATCGAGTGGTCGCCACCTACACAACCCTAACCGGGGCCACGGACAAACTGCAACCGAGGTACGTGCCCTCAGTGGGAGCTGAACCCGGGCCTCTCTGGTCCATGGGCTGACGCTCCAACCGCTGCGCCAAACCCGCCAGGGCTGAGAACCTCTGCTTCCAGAGGACTCGAGAGCTGGCCCTGAACAGTTTCCATGCTCCGTCTTCCCTTCCGAATGGCCCTGGTTCCTGGGAGCACGTATTGGCTGTTCCTCTTCCACCTCTGCTCTGATTTCTCCTTGTTTGTTAGTCTCGAGTCTCAGCTCGCACATCGTGGAAATATCCCAGAAACCCTGGTGTCCGGCTTGGGCCCCTGTCCCCAGTGCCCTGGCCCCCACACCACACACTCCCATAGGGGGCTCAGAGGAAGACCTGGGCACAGCAGAACCCCGGGTGACCAAGGGGAGGGAGGCCTCCCGTTGCCGCCGCTGAGGGACCCTGGGGCCGCTGGGACTGGATGTCGGAGTCCCCGAGGGCCCCAGCTGACCCCTGTGCTTGGGCCCCCTCACCAACCTCTGCTGCCCCGGAAGGCGGGCCTGCAGGTCAGCATGTGGGCACCGCCCCCAGGGCCTGGAGTGGAGAGGGGCCTGGGGGCAGCACCTTTCAGGGGAGGACAAGTGAGTGGGGGCGGGGCCAAGCACACCTGTGAGTGTGACTCAGCGACCACCTCCTTAGCCTCCTGCTGGCAATTTATTCACACCCCCTAATGGCCCTGTGGGAAGGGGGGGCTGCCCGCCCCCACCACACCTCTCACTTGCTCGTCTTGCTCACCTGGCTGATGATGATGGTGACCCTCTCCTTTCCCTACTTCCTTCAAGAGCAGAGTAAAAGAAAACAAGCTTAGCTATAGCAGGAACGTTTAGGTTAGCTCTCAGAAGGGACTTCCTCCGCAGGACAGTGGACTGGGATCTGGGTGTGGGCGGGATGAGGAACCTTGTCTAGGCCTCAGTTTGCTCATCTGTCAAACGGCTGACTCGTGCCTTCCACTGTGAGGACGGAGGAGGTCGAGACCTCGGAAAGTGGTTTCAAGCATACAACCCGAGTAAAGCTTCGCTGCTCCAGCCAACCTGGCTTCCCTCACTGGCCTGCCCCGACTCCCACCTCGCTCTGTCCCAGCCCTGTCCCAGCTGCCCAGTGCCCCGGAAGCTCCGACTCTTCGAGGCCCAGCCTCTGCCACTGGGCCGCTCATCCCTGCAACCAGCTCAGCGGCCCCGGGGGGGATGGGGAAGCAGCCAGACCGACTCCTTCTCCTCTCACGTCCGTAGACCCTGCCTCCGGCCTGAGCAGCAGCGGCATGGGCAGCGCCAGCCCCAGCCTGAGCTCCCTGCCCTCCGGCCGTCTCCTTCTGTCCCCCAACACGGTGTTGCGGACAGGCCCAGAGAAGATGACAGCCGGGCTGGTGGGGCCAGAGAGACGGGACTGGAGCCCCAGCCCGCCTGCCACACCGGAGCAGGGCCTGTCTGCCTTCTACCTCTCCTGTTTGGACATGCTGTACCCCGACGACAGCAGCTGGGCCACCAAGGGCCCTGGGGCCAGCACTCGGGGTGAACCGCCTGAGGAGCCCGAGCAGTGCCCGGTCATCGACAGCCAAGCGCCCGGGGGCAGCCTGGACCTGGCGCCGGGAGGGCTGAGCCTGGAGGAGCACTCGCTGGAGCAGGTGCAGTCCATGGTGGTGGGCGAGGTGCTCAAGGACATAGAGACAGCCTGTAAGCTGCTCAACATCACTGCAGGTGAGCCCTCCGCAAGCCCACTCCACAGGGGACACGCCTGCTGCGCCCTGGCCCCCCGCCCCCCTGGCCCAGCCTCAGGCAGCCCGGGAGCACCGGTGCTTCTCCGTACACACGGCCAGCCCATGGCACAGTGAGCGCTGTGAGCCGAGGCTGGCCGGTTCTGACCCTCTGCGTGCCCAGCTGCGCCAGCCCGAGCCCCCACTTGGCAGGTGCCGGGTGAAGTGAGGTCGAGCCCTACGCCCTCAGCCCACCCGACCTCCTCTCGGACTCCCCACCACCCTCCCCTCAGCCACACTTGCCTCCTTGCGCTCCCACAACACACCTCAGGACAGCCAGCTCGCCGTCCCTCACCTTGAACACCCCCCCACTATCTCCTGGGCTCACCCTCACCTCCTTCGTGTCTTAATCAAATGGCCCAGTGAGGCCTTCCTTGACCTGCTGCTGGGTTCCTGCTCCCATCCCGGCCCCGCCCCGGCTGCCGCTCTCAGCGCGCACGCTCTGCTCTGCGGCACACTGCCTGTCTCCTTCACTGTCTCCCCCTGGAATGTGCACACCCATGGGGCACACTTCTCACTTGTTTTGTTCACTGCCACACCCCCAGTTCCTAGGGTGGCACCTTGTACAGAACAGATGCTCAATAAGCAGTAACTTGATATGTCAGGCCCCGTTCTGGCATCGGGGAATTGAATGGTGCACAGGACACAAAAGCTTCTTCACTTAGGAAGCAGACATGACAGCGAGGGAAATGGATCATAAATAATTAGATAAATGTGTCACTGGTCCAGGGTGATGAGGAAGGAAGATCAGAAAGTCAGGCCTGAATGGGTCTGCCAGGGCCTGAAAGGTGTGGCCATGAGCTGATGATGGGGTCCAGGGGCTGCTGGGTCTCAGCCCTGTGCCCCCATCACCTCTGCAGCTCCGGGCAGGCCTGTCTCCCTGGCCACTGGGCCCCAGCAGGTGAGCACTGAGCCTGCTCCTTTCACACAACCCGAGCTGTCAGGCATCCTCGGCCCAGCCCCTCCTCCTAGGGGTCATCTGGGCCATGCCCTGAGCCCCAGCTGGTGCCCCCTTAAGGTAGCTCCTGCCAATGCCCCAGCCCTTCAGTTGCCCAATGCTCAGACCGGCCCCCCACCCCACTCACACTCCCAGGAAGGTCTCCCATGGTGCCTTCACTTCCCACTGGGCTGGGGAGGGAGGGGCATGCCCTCTAAACAATGGGGACAGAAACAAATCGCTTTGACCCTAGAGAGGAAAATGGGTTTATTAAGTGGGGGCAGCCCAGCCTGCAGGTCACCCAGCTGGGGCACCCATTAAGACCACAGTGTTCACTTGGAACCCCATTGTGATTGTGCCCACAAACCTGGCCTTCACCTGTGTGCCCTGCCAGGCTCACTCCAGAGCTGTTTCCCAGGGGAACATCTTGGACCTAGCCAGTGACCCCCCTCCTGCCTCCGAGGCCTGTTCCTGCCCCTGACCACCCTATGCCTTGCCATGCACTCACTCACCCATTCATTCACTCACCCATTCATTCACTCACCCATTCATTCATTCACTGGTTCATTCACTCATTCATTCACTCACTCACTCACTCATTCCCTCATTCATTCAATGCATGTACACTGGGCAGCTGTTACACACCCAGCCCCTTGTTAGGTGTTGGAACTCCCTGTGCCTCAGTTTTCTCATCTGTAAAATATGGTGGGGTTGGGGTGGGGTTATAGGATTAACTCCTGGTCGGATTTTTCTCTGGTTCCTTTGGGAAAGCCAGAGGCAGCTGGTAAGGAAGCTCACATGTTTCTGGTTTAATGTCACTGTCCCCTCCATGTCTGTAGCTCCCCAAAAGGGCCTTTGGAGGGGGTTGAAGTGTCTGGGAGAACCCAAGGTTTGGATGAAGGGGGAGACACAGAGGCCCCAGGCTACCCTTCCCTGAGCCAAGTTTGTTGATAGGGCCCTGGCTCCTCCCTCTCACTCCACAGTCTCCTTGGGTACCTCCTCAACAGGGCCCCTCCAGAGGGTCTGGACTGTCCTGTCCCCACCCCCGGAGTTCCCAGTTCCCACAGGGGCCACATTCCAGGTAGTGGCCTCCGGCAGCCCTGCAGCTGAGGGAGTGTCTCTGTCTTGCCCAGACCCCGTGGACTGGAGCCCAGGCAACGTGCAGAAGTGGCTCCTGTGGACGGAGCACCAGTACCGGCTGCCCCCCGTGGGCAAGGCCTTCCAGGAGCTGGGGGGCAAGGAGCTGTGCGCCATGTCGGAGGAGCAGTTCCGCCAGCGCTCACCCCTGGGCGGGGATGTGCTACATGCCCACCTGGACATCTGGAAATCAGGTGGGACATGGTGCGGGTGGACGCAGCCCCTCCCAGACTCCAAGCTCTGGAGCCTGGGTGATCACCAGCCCGACCCCTCCCAGCCCTGGCCAAGCCCACAGAACTTAGAACAGTACATGGGAAGTTAGAAGGTGGAAGTTAGACTGTGAGGATGTGAGACCTCACAGCTGAAAGGACTGTGGATGCTATGAAGTCCTTTTAAAATTTTATTCATTTGTTTTCTGTTGTTTTTCATTGAAGAAGCAATAGGGTGCCCTGGCTAGTGTTGCTCAGTGGTTAGAGCATTGGTCCTTGCACCAAAGGGTCATGGGTTTGATTCCCGTCAATGGCATGTATGTCCTGGGTTGCAGGTTCCATCCCTGGCCCTGGTCGGGGTCCAGCGGGATGCAACCCATCCGTGTGTCTCTCTCACATCGATGTTTCTCTCTCTCCTCCTCTCTCCCTCCCTCCCTCCCTCTCCTCTACTCTAAAAATCAATGGAAAAAATAGCCCTGGCCGGTTTGGCTCAGCAGTTGAAGCATCAGCCTGCGGACCAGAGAGTCCCGGGTTCGGTTCCCGCTGGGGGCACGTACCAAAAAGAAAAAAGAAAAGAAAAAATATCCTCAGGTGAGGATTAACAAAAAAAAAAAAAAAAAAGGAAGAAGAAATAATGGGCTAATAATTGTGTACAATTTTTTGCCCCTTTACTGATTTTAGAGAGAGGGTAAGTAAGAGGAAGAGAGCGATAGAGACATCAGTGAGAGAGAACATCGACTGGCCACCTCCTGCATGCATCCTGCTGGGGATTTGACCCACAACCTGGGCATGTGTCTTGACCGGGAATCAAACCGACGACCTCTTGGTGCATGGGTCAATGCTCAGCCACTGACACACACCGACCGGACGTGTACAGTTTTCTAACAAGACCATAGTGATGGTTTACTATAAAAAGTAGTTCTCCTTCCCTAGCTTTCCAACCCCCCTCCCTAGAGGCGACCACTGTTGCCAGTCTCTTGGGTACCTAGCCAGGGAAAGTCTATGCAGATACAAGCAAATATATGCGTGGCTTTCCCCCTTTTTAAAAACGTAAATAGCATCAGCACATGCACTGTTCTGTACTTACCTGGATCTTGTTCCCCATCAGGATCCATAGAGCTGCCCTATGCTTTTTAAAGGCTGCAAGCCAGCCCCATCTCCATCTCACTGGGCACCTGCTGTGTGCCCTGCACAGAGCCATGAGCTTTGGAGGCAGTGCTTGCTCAGTGGGTCAAGGCCCCTGACCATAGGGGCCCAGATGAATAAGGGGACAGGACCTGCTCATATGACCCAGTCAGAGACCGGTGTCCTGCCCACCCAGGCCTTGTCAATAGCCGCCAAGGGCAGTGGTCAGTACCAGGCTGAGTGCTGGGTGGTGACGTGGGAGGAAACTGGCTGCCTTCACCCCCACCCCCACTGCTTGGTCTGGGGTCAGGGAGACAGGAAGGGGGCTGGGCAGCGAGCAGGAGGGGTGAAAGTACTTGGTGACTTGTACCTGGAGAGTAGGGTGGTCTATTATGCTGGACACTGAGCAAGGCGCTGGGCAGACTTCATCACCTAGAGTCCTTGCAAGATACGTGAGGGAGTGTCCTACCCCATTTCACAGGGGAGCAAGGCCTCACTTCCACTGTCTTGTCTGAACAAGGGGCTGCATCTGGGTGCCCTAAGGCCCCTCTCAGCTCTGAAATCCCAAATTTCCTTCAGTAAGCAGCTCCAGACTGGCAGGAGGGAAGGGCCCTGGGGAAACCTGGGCAGTAGGAGCCTGTGTGGCCCCACAGTTCTATCCAAATGCCCTCCTCCCGCCTGGGGGGGTCTGTCCTGTGTACTCAACCTCCTGTCCTTGTCTCGCAGCGGCCTGGATGAAAGAGAGGACGTCCCCCGGGGCCATTCACTTCTGCGGTGAGCAGGGCAGGCGGGCGGGGGTGCTCTGAGATCTGAGGTTGAGGGGTGGCTGCCGCAGAAGCAGGGTGTGGCCACAGGTCCCCACTCACCACCGCCCTCCTTGGCTGCCCAGCCTCGACCAGTGAGGAGAGCTGGACGGACAGCGAAGTAGACTCGTCCTGCTCGGGGCAGCCCATCCACCTGTGGCAGTTCCTCAAGGAGCTGCTGCTGAAGCCCCACAGCTACGGCCGCTTCATCCGGTGGCTCAACAAGGAGAAGGGTGAGCGGCCCGGCGGGAGCAGGGGCACTGAGGGCGGTGAGCGGGAGCAGGGGCACTGAGGGCGGTGAGCGGGAGCAGGGGTACTGAGGGAGGTGAGCGGGAGCAGGGGGTACTGAGGGAGGTGAGCGGGAGCGGGGGCACTGAGGGAGGTGAGCGGGAGCAGGGGGGGTACTGAGGGTGGTGAGCGGGAGCAGGGGGCACTGAGGGCGGTGAGCGGGAGCGGGGACACTGAGGGAGGTGAGCGGGAGCAGGGGTACTGAGGGAGGTGAGCGGGAGCAGGGGCACTGAGGGAGGTGAGCGGGAGCAGGGGCAGTGAGGGTGGTGAGCGGGAGCAGGGGCACTGAGGGAGGTGAGTGGGAGCAGGGGGCACTGAGGGAGGTGAGAGGGAGCAGGGGTACTGAGGGCGGTGAGTGGGAGCAGGGGCACTGAGGGAGGTGAGCGGGAGCAGGGGCACTGAGGGCGGTGAGCGGGAGCAGGGGCACTGAGGGAGGTGAGCGGGAGCAGGGGCACTGAGGGCGGTGAGCAGCCCAGTGGGAGCAGGGGCACTGAGGGAGGTGAACGGGAGCAGGGGCACTGAGGGCGGTGAGCAGCCCAGTGGGAGCAGGGGCACTGAGGGCGGTGAGCAGCCCAGTGGGAGCAGGGGCACTGAGGGAGGTGAGCGGGAGCAGGGGCACTGAGGGCGGTGAGCAGCCCAGTGGGAGCAGGGGCACTGAGGGAGGTGAACGGGAGCAGGGGCACTGAGGGCGGTGAGCAGCCCAGTGGGAGCAGGGGCACTGAGGGAGATGAGCAGCCCAGTGGGAGCAGGGGCACTGAGGGCGGTGAGCGGGAGCAGGGGGCATTGAGGGCGGTGAGCAGCCCAGTGGGAGCAGGGGCACTGAGGGAGGTGAGCGGGAGCAGGGGCACTGAGGGTGGTGAGCGGGAGCAGGGGCACTGAGGGCGGTGAGCAGCCCAGTGGGAGCAGGGGCACTGAGGGAGGTGAGCGGGAGCAGGGGCACTGAGGGAGGTGAGCGGGAGCAGGGGGCACTGAGGGCGGTGAACGGCCCAGTGGGAGCAGGGGGCATGGAGGGTCCTGGGGGGAAGAGTGGGGCTGGGAAGAGGTGTGGAGCTGGTTCCTCCCACCTTTGCCCTGAGTACCAGACATGCTGCTGTAGTTGGACCTGCTCAGGGTCCGTGTGCAATTGTGCCCACTCTACCCATCCCGGCCAGGGGCTGCCTTGTCCAGTGTCCCCAGCGCCGCGCAGCAGGGACACAGTAGGCACTTGCAGTTCTGCTGAGAACCAGACAGTCTGCCCTCAAGACATCACAGCCTCCCTGGGGGCTGACGGTGCCCAGTGGGAAACACTATGTGAGCTGCACATGTAAGATTGGGTTCTCAAGCAGCCACGTTAAAAATAATTTTAAACAGGTGAAATACTTTTTAAAAAATATTTTTATTGGTTTTTTAGAGAGAGAGAAAGGGAGAAAGAAACATTGACATAAGACACATCGATCAGCTGCCTCCCGCATGCACCCTGACTGGGAATCGAACTGGGACCTCTCAGTCCATGGGATGGATGCTCAATCCACTGAGCCACACTGGGCATAAATTTTAATAATAATTTTATTTAACTCAGTATCATAAATTATTAGAATTTCAGCATATAACCAATGTAAAATTTATTAATTAGATATTTTACAAAGTCTTTGAGATCTGATGTGTATTTTACACTCCCTACTTTGGACTTGGCACATTTCAAGTGCTCAGAGCCACCTGTGGCTAGTGGCTACCTCGCTGGACAGTGCCTAGGCTATATGGTGTGTGTGTGTGTGTGTGTGCGTGTGCACACTTGCGCACACGCAAAGGCTCAGAGCCAAGAAACCTGGGTTCTGGGCCCCAGCTTGTCCTTAGTAGCTCTGGGTGCCTGGACCTCAGACTTCAGATTCATTCACCCAACAAACCTTCCCTGAGCACCTCCCCTGGTTTCACACTTGCTCAGTGCCATTACAAAGAATTACATGTCCGAGGGCTCAGAGAGGACTCGGCTGCACCCCGGCCTCAAGGGCTCTACAGTCTGTAGGAGAACTAGCAGCGAAATAAGCCGGTGTGCAGAGCACGTCAGGGTTGGCACAGGACCATGGGGACAGCTGTGCCCTGGTCTAGGAGGACTTCATGGAGGAGGACTTGGGATGAGTGTGGAGGACGAGAGGGGATAGAGGGGAGGAAGAGAAGTTCCTGCACGAGGTGTGATGACTCGATGCGTCTCTGTAAAGCGGAGAGTGAGGTAGCTGCTCCTCGGGTCCTCCCGTGCTCTGGGGAGACAGTCCCACAGAAGTGTAGTAAGGAAGGGAAATCAGGGAGGGTGGGTGGTCTGGGAAGGCTGCCTGAAGCAGGGGTGCTGACCTGGGCCTTGCCAGGAGGGCTAAGAATGAGAACTGAGCCCTGGCCGGTTGCTCAGTGGTTAGAGCATTGGCCTGAGGACTGAAGGGTCACAGGTTCGATTCCTGGTTAAGGGCATGTACCTGGGTTGCAGGTTCGATCGCTGGCCCTGGTCGGGGTCATGCAGGAGGCAACCAATTGATGTGTATCTCTCACAATGATGTTTCTCCCCCCCCCCCCTTCCAGTCTATCTAAAAATCAATGAAAAAAATATTCTTGGGTAAGGATTAACAAACAAACAAGAACGAGAACGGGATATTGGTAATATAGTTGTTCTTCCCAAGGGGCACTTCCTTCAGACTCCACTCTAAGCACTTTCTGTAATCACTCAACCCCTCTTATCACCTCAGACAGCTTCTAAAGGTAGAAAATGTCAGGGTCAGGATTCAAACTGGTTGGCCCAGCTCCAAATCCACTCTTCCCACCACCTCTCCTGATTCGAGCCTGCCGGCAAGGCTGTGTGGGCCGAAGCGTCGGAGACGGGCAAAGGGGCCTTGCAGGCTTGGGAACTGCAAGGTGGCGGGAGTGTGACCACACTGACTGTGTGGGCAGTCAGAGCCCTCCCAGGCTCCTGGGGAAGGTGTGCAAACCCACAGTAGGAGCAGGGCTACCCTTGGGGCTCACCCTGCACCAGGAGGTTCATGGCTCCATGGTATTATTGACCACTTACTGAGCCCTGTGACACGCTCCTCGTACACATTTCTTTAGCCCTCACCACAACCTTGCGAGCAGGTATTATGGCCCCGCGTCCTGGCCCTGCCCCCACCAACTCTGGCTGGCTTGGCTTTCTGAGAAACTGACCTGTTGGTCTTGGGCTCTCTCCTTCTGGCTGTTCCCCACTTGCACCGCTGGCTGTCTCTGGGCCCTCCTACGCCCTCAGGCATCTTCAAGATTGAGGACTCCGCTCAGGTGGCCCGGCTTTGGGGCATCCGAAAGAACCGCCCCGCCATGAACTACGACAAGCTGAGCCGCTCCATCCGCCAGTATTACAAGAAGGGCATCATCCGAAAGCCAGACATCTCCCAGCGCCTGGTCTACCAGTTCGTGCACCCCATCTGAGGGCTGCGGGCCAGGCCGGCCTGGAACCCGCCTCGCCAGACCTCCGTCTGCCTGCCCCTGCCCCACGACACCCTGAGCTGGGGGACGGAGTCTGCTGGCATTCAGAGCCCGAGGTCAGGGAGGACAGGGCCACTGCTCCCAGGGGTGTAGTGAGCTCGCTGGGGCCTGAGGGGCCCGTGGGGGTGCTTCCCCTCAGGCACACTGCAGGATGCAGGGAGCAGGGCTGACCTCAGTGTTCGCAGCTCCCCAGGGGAGGCATTCCCTCCACCCAGCTCCGATCCCAGCATTTCCAGAGCAGACCCAACAGAATGGCAATGACCTGTCGAAGGCCACTGGCAGCCCAGGGCTCTCTGCCACCCATGCCTGGCATGGTGCTAGGAGATATCTGTATCCCTGAGTTGGGGAACCGGGGGGAGGGCTGGGAATGGGTAATAAAGATACCACAAAACTGACATGGCCCCAGTTCTGTGCAGTGAGTGAGTGGTTCTGGCCACAGGGGCCTGGAGTCATCAAGGGAGGCTTTCTGGGGGTGGCACTGAGCCGAGCCTAGGAGGAAAGGGATCACTGACTGGCAGAAGCTGCGGAGAGAGGCAGTGAGTCCTCAAGGCCAAGAAGAGGCTGGAATGGCCCGGGTCCCCCAGTCCTGGTGTGGGCCGAAAGGAGGGAGGGCTGGGGCTGATGGGGGCTGTACATGGGGCAGGCGAGAAGGCAGGGTCCTTGGCCACCCTCTTGCCCTGCTGTAGAGCAGGGCTTTCTGTCTGAGGTGGTCAGGGTCTGGCCCTCCTGCAAGGGGGCCCACAGCCCTGGTGTCTGCTTGGGCACCACGGGGGCTCTGGGGGGCAGCAGCGGTGCACAGAGGGTGGGTGCTTCAGTGCCCCTCATGGTATGCTGGGTCTGCAGGGAACAGGGTAGGAGAGTTAGCTTGTTCGAGGTTCTTCCCTCCCACAAAGTGAGGTCACAGACCTCAGTAGTGCCCTCTTTGAAACGTGAGCCCTGTGAGCGGGGTGTGAGAAATGGTGTGATGGGGAAAGCATGTGGTCAGAGTGCGTGCACGCGCGTGTGCATGTGTGTGTGCACATGTGCTGAGGGATGGGACCCACTGCCCACTGTCCTGGCAAAGCAGCGTGCTCAGCTTCCTCACGCTCCGTCACATTTGTTCCCCGAGCTCAGGAGTCCTGAGGACTATTTGTTTTCACTGCTTTTGTGTTATTAAAACTCCCCCCAACAATAGGGGTTAACTCCCCATTTTCAGATGATGAAACAGGCTCAGAGCAGCTGACTTGCTCACGCACAGCCAATGAACAGCAGAACCAAGAACTGAACCCACCAGGACAGAGGTCTCTCTGCTCCAAGAGCGGTCAGCACCCTCAGCCTCTGTACCACTTAGCTCCAGAGTGACAGGGTGACAGGGTGACAGGAAACCAGCCGGGAGCCAGCCAGCGCTGCCCAGACCACTAAGGGTTAAATGCTGCCCTGTCCGGCGCCTTCTGCCCTCGCAATTTTATTGTCTTCAGAAGCAAGTTTGCTCCTGGCAGTGAGCAAACAGCACCTTGGCATCTGTCCGCTGGGCTCAGACCTGGAGGAGCAGGGCCCTGCCCCGAGCCTGTGCCTCCCTGGGCGGCTGCTGTCTGCCCACCCCCTGGGAGGACAGACTGGGACCCGGGGGGCCAGGATCCAGCTTGGCTCTGCTGAACTGGTTTTGTCTTCAGCCTGCTCGTCCTGCCCCCAGCTTTGTCCCTGGGGCCACCTACTTCCACATCCCAGCTGGGCCTGGGCCTGCAGAGGCCTCGGGTCTCAGGAGGGGGCTGGGAGGGATGGGAGGGGGGTTAATGGCTAGGAGTGGAGAGCTGGAGCTCCAGAAAGGGGGGCTGTGGGGAGTGGGGCGGGCCATCTCCCCGCTCTGACCACCACCTGCCACCAGGCACACGTCCCTCTGTGGGCACACATCCACCCAGGGACACCTTGTGTGCTGGCAGCAAACTTCGGATGCCTCTTCCCTCCACACAGCTGCCCATCGGACCCCAGGCATTCCCTCCGCGTGGACCCGCACTCAGGGCTCCGTCACCGCATGGAACAGCCTGTGCAGATGACACAGGAAACCTCTCGTCTTTATTTGAAGAGCCCTCTGTTTGGCTAAAACCAGGCTCTTGTCACTGGAGGTGGGTTTGGGGAGAAAGATTATGTGGTGGGGAACAGATTCAACCCCATCTTGACCGGTTCTCCCTGCTCTGCATGCCCTGAGGCTGGGGGCACGCAGGGGCAGTGAAGGCACTGGGTACATTTGCGTTCGTGCCCTGACAGGCTGCGGGGCCAGAGGGGCCTCAGGAAGACACCTAAAGAGACTTGGGAAAGCGGGGGTCCAGGGTGGGGTGGGGGTGGGACACAGTGAGCTGATAGCAGCGCTGGAACTGGACCCGGACCCCTGCCCTGCTGCAGAAGAGACCCAGTCGGGGGTGGAGGTTGGACCCGGACTCCTGCCCTGCTGCAGAAGAGACCCGGCGGAGGTGGAGGTTGGACCTGGACCCCTGCCCTGCTGCAGAAGAGACCCGGCGGGGGTGGAGGTTGGACCCGGACCCCTGCCCTGCTGCAGAAGAGACCCGGCGGGGGTGGAGGTTGGACCCGGACTCCTGCCCTGCTGCAGAAGAGACCCGGCGGGGGTGGAGGTTGGACCCGGACTCCTGCCCTGCTGCAGAAGAGACCCGACGGGGGTGGAGGTTGGACCCGGACTCCTGCCCTGCTGCAGAAGAGACCCGGCGGGGGTGGAGGTTGGACCCGGACTCCTGCCCTGCTGCAGAAGAGACCCGGCCGGGGGTGGAGGTTGGAGCAGCGGCTGAGGCCTGGACAGGCCTGAGCCTGGCAGAACCGAGCTGAGAGCTCAGAGCTCAACTCGTGCCCATTCCCGAGAAATCCTCCCACAGGGGCCCTCCTGGGGCCTACACAGAAATGCTGTTAGGGGTCAGGCAGGGCACAGGGTGGTGTGGCAAGGCGTGATGTCACACCACAGGGAGCCTGGGACTGGGGACAACCAGGAACCCACTGGCCTTGGCAATCACTTTTAGAATTTTGCTTTGAAAATTGAAATCTATTGCCCTGGCCGGGTGGCTCAGTTGGCTGAGCGTCGTCCCGCACACCAAAAGTTGTGGGTCCAATTCCCAGTCAGGACACATACCTAGGTTTCAGGTTTGATCCATGGTTGGGGAGCATATGGGAGGCAACCGATCGATGTTTTTCTCTCTCTCACACACACACAAAATCAATAAAAACATCCTCAGGTGAAGATTAAAAAAAAACCTGAAACCTGTTCAGAGGTCAAATGCACCCTTGAACCATGAGTTTGTGACCCCAGATATCCCAGCTTTCCTGGTCAGTGCTTCTCAGTAGGTACCCAGACCCCAGGAGCCTCAAGAGAGCATCCAGGGTAACTGTCCTTGCACAGACAGGACCCGGGGCACTGGAAGGTGAAGGGACCAGCCCTCAGCTCCCCAGCCCACTGGTGGTCGGCCAGGACAGCCCCCAGTTGCTGGGCACTCCCCGCCCACCAGACATCCCAACCACAGGCAACTCTCAGAAGCCTCGAAAGACACAGGACTCAAGATGACAACACCCAGCCAGGTTGACACAGTTCTGGATTTTATCCACAGTCATACAATCACAACTTATATATATATATAGATTTGTATTTATATACCTTTAAATACACAATCATGTACAAAACAGGTGCATTGCTGAGACCACAGCACTTCTCAGAGTTTCACAAGTGTCGGACTAATGGTCAGGAAGCCCAGGGCGGCAGAGGCGCGGGCAGCCCTGGCTCCTTGCAGAGCCAGGCCGCAGAACGTGGTTAACTCGGGATGAAACACTACTCGCCGAGCCCGGGGAGGGGGGCGGGGGGCCAGCAGCACTGCGGTGCGGGCAGGGGCTACAGGACTTGGTGGGCACAGTGAGGGGCACGGCCCCTATGCTCAGTGGTGAGGGCCCTGATACCAGCACTGACAGGTGGGTCTGGGCCCCGGGATCTCAGGGGGTCTTCCAGGCGAGACCCTCCCACTCCGGGGCCCGAGGAGCCTGGGGACCGATTGCTCAGGAGGAATGGGGTTTTGAGTCCCTGCCCCGGAGTGGACAGTTAAAGGGCTGAGGGGACAGCCAGGGCCACTGCCCGTCCCCAGGTGCTGGGAAGCTGCTGGCAGAGAGGGGGAGCCCAGGCCCCAAGGTGCAGATGTGGCAGCTCCCTGACTTCCAGTGGTAGGTGGTGAAGGGCAGAGGCCCCCGACCCCAACTCCTGCTTGGAGGAGGCAGAAGGTTTTCTTCTGGAGTTGGGAGGGCTGAGGGTTTCCAAAATCGTGCTCCAAGCTCTGAAGGGTCTAGGGCACACCTCAGGGTGCAGCAGAGGCCCAGAGAACAGTGACAAGAAAGCGTGTACCGTGGGGGTGGGGGGTAGTCTGCCTGTCTTTAGGAGAGCCATCATCCCCATCCCCCCAACTTCTCTGGGGAGGCCTGCCCCAGCTCAGACCCCTGCCAGAGTTTGCCAAGATCCTCTGTGCTCCTAGGAACAGGGTCAGGGCCTGAGGCTGGGGTCTGTGACCTAACAGTGGGCTGTGGGGAGAAGAAGAACAAGAGGCTGAGGGGTGCCAGAGGGGCTGGGGTATCACACTGTCTTCACCTAGAGGCCCAGGGGCAGGTGCTCTGGAGGGAGCAGGGCCCAGAAGAGGCATCCCCGTGCGCAGGGCTCTCCTGGTGCTGCAGGTCTCAGGGCCTCACTCGGAGGTTCTGAGACTCCTCTTCCAGCCAGTCCCCCACCTCTAGGGGTCTTGTCCTGCCTTGGTCTGCTTCCCAGGTAGGCCTCCCCCAGTCGCGTGGGAGGGGCTGCTCCCTGGTAGTGATGCTTGGCAACCCAGCACCAGGAAACACTCCTGCTCCGGGCAGGCCCTCCCTCTCCTCCCCCCAAAGTCCTTTGACAGAGAGAGGCCCAGGCTTGGAGGGATGGGGCGGGGGCTGCCGGCGGGGGGATTCTGCTCCACGGCTGGGCTGTGGTTGTAGGGAGAGGACAGGAAGGAAGACACGGTGACTGCCCTGCCCATCTGCCTCTCCTAGGGGCTGCAGGCCTTCCCTGATGGCCCCAGGCTGGAAGCTGCCAGGGCCCGTGCTGTCCCCCCAGGCAGGACAGAGGACAGAGAGGAATGGGAGCCCCGAGGTTAGTCTCTGAAGGTTGGCTGAACCCAGTGATTCTCTGGTTTTAGACGGATGTGGAGGGAACATGGGTGGGTGGGCAAGATACCCTGCCCCCCAGGAAATGGAAGGAGGCTGCTACTGTTGCTGGCTTTGCCCTGGGCTTTGGGGCCCCTCCCCTCTGCCTGAGAACTTGTGGGGGGAAGGCTGCACATACTGAAGGGTATGGCTCTGAGGAGGAGCGCAGGCCTGAAGCATGGACAGCTGGACAGAAGGCCTAGCAGGTCCCATTCCCGCCGCTGAGCCTGCGGTGGAAGGACAGGCCGGCTCCCTGCTCGTGGATCCTACTGCACCACAGCGACTCTGTCACCACCTCCAGCTCAACCCTCTTCATCTGGAGAAGAGGGTGACCATTCCTCTTCCAGTGCCACCAATCCTGTGGGGTGAGGCCCAGGGGAGAAGGGTACTCCCAGGGCACAGTGGGAGACTAAACACTGGGAGGCCCCTTGTCTTGGTTGGAGGGGAGGCCTCTGAGAGGAGGGTGGTAGTGAAAGGGGAGCAAGGTGGGGCAGGAGGAGGGGGCCCCGAAAACCAGGCCCAGGGAAGGGGGCAGCAGGTACTGGCAGCCTGGGGTGGGGACGGGGGATGGGCGCAGTGAAGTAAGATGGACGGGGCCGGGAGACATCTCTCAGGGCTCAGGAGACTCTGGTGGGATCTAAAGAGTAGATGTTGTGATGTCTCTGTTGGGCTAAGTTGTAAGACCCTCACCTACCCAGGGCCATCACCCCAAGTCCAGCAGCCTGGCCTCCAGGTGGCCCTGCAAATGCTCCATCTCTTTGTATTTTTTGTTTTGTTCAGTATTGACTTTTAAAAAAATAAAAGCTTGATCGTAAAATATGTCTGGAACTCTATGGCGAGGGGAGGTGACAAGAGTGGGAAGGGGGTGGGGGAGGAGTGGGGGGTTTTGCGGGGGGCAGCAGGGCAGCTAGATGGCCTCCACGTAGTTGGCAGGATAGAGGCCGAACTGCCCGCTGTCCAGCCGCCCGCGGCACCAGCCCTGCTCGTCCTCCTCGCCCAGCTTGGTGAGCTCGTCTCCTGGGAAGGGGACACAGAGGAGCTCCTGGAGGGGCTGGCTCGCAGAGGGCCGTCCCTCCACCCCCACATTGCTAGGTAAGATCTCCAACACTGTGATGCTGGGCCGACCCCTAAACGCTCCCCCATTATTACCCCAATGCCTGTCCCTGGGGACCAGCCACACTCGGACACCCAACACCACTCCAGTCACCCACCCAATCTGGGGCCCCTCCTCCAGCTTCATTTCTCAGGTCGGGAGTCCCTGTTCCTGCATCCCCGGCCTCAGGCCTGCCCCAAATCCGTGTCAGGCCCTAACCTCCAACCCTGTTCTCAGGTCCTGATTCTGCCCCTGGCACCCAGTTGCCATTCTCAGGCCCTGCCCTAGCCCTCTAGTTCTAGTCTTGGCCCCAGGGCTCAGGTCACAATTCAGGTCTTGGCCAAGCCCTGCATCAGGCCCCTCCCACAGCCTCACTCCCAGCGAATTCCCATCCCCTGCCCTCAGGCCCCGCCCCGCCCCGCCGGCCCCGCCCACCGCCCCGCCGGCCCCGCCCACCCGTACCAGCCTTGAAGCTGAGCTCATCCTGCTCCTGGCCTTCGTAGTCATAGAGCGCCCGCACACGCACTCCCTTGGCGTCGTCCTCGAAAGGGTTGGCGCCCCCGTTGGCCTCATTGCCCCCAAATGTGTTCCCGCTCTCATCGTCTGACCACTCAGTAGTATAAGGCTGGCTCCTGTCATAGCTGCTAACGCTGAGAAGTGGAGAGAGTACCCAGCATGGATTGCCTCTCGCCTCGGGCTGCCCCTCAGCCCAACCAGAGCACTGGCCCCACATGGGGCCAGGGGTGGGCCTTGCAAGAGGGGTGCTGAGCCAGAGACCTTCACTGGCTACTCTTTAAACAGATGTGAGACAAGATTATTAGCATTATTACTCAGTCTTAGAGTGAGGGGGTGCTGCAGGGGACCCCAGAGAACATCTGGCTCCTCATCTGAGAAGAGCAGCACAAGCTAGCGGTTCAGAGTGATGATTCTGGAGCCAGATTCCTGGGCATCAATCCTGGCTCTGAGGCTTCCTAACAAGCTGTGTGATCTACAATCACTAACTTCTCTGGGTATCAGTTTCTCCATCTGTAAAACGGGAATATTTACACACTTCTCATAATGTTGAAGGCTTCAGTGAGTTAATGTATGAAAATGCCTGGAACAGTGCTTGGCACACAGTAAGTGCTTGCAAGGGATTAGCTATCCGTATCTTTGAAAGGAGCACGAGGCTGCTGTGATTTAGATAATTTCTTGTCTCTTAAGGTAAAACTCAAGAGACCCCTGGCCTCTAGGAAGCTCCATAGGAGGCACTTACTTACCTGCCACGGTCCCCAGCCTGAGATGTGGACTCCACCACCCCAGTGGCATTGGTCAGCACCACCCCCTCTGCCTTCTTAGGCTGTTTCTCCTTCTTGGTGGTGGTGTGAGGGAGGTCTGGGTTCCACTCCTGGTGGGTGCCAGGGGAGCAGTCAGGCTGGGGGATGCTCCCGGAGGCCCCTTCCAGCCTTTTCGGACTCCTCTTCCCCATCCCCACACATCCTCACCTCAAACTGGGGCCAATTCATGGGCATGCCAGGGCCGCTGGTGCTGCGGAACCATCTGAGGTCGTCCTGGGCGTCAGCACTCCGGATGGCCTGTTCCAACTCCCGGTACACATGGACATAGCTGTGCACAGGGGAGATGGGGAGGTGGGGACAAGATGCACCATGGCCCCTTCTCATTCTTGGTGAAAGCAGGAGCCCATTCAGGGGACCAGGTTGCTGGCATGGCCCCAGCTGGGAATCAGGCAGGCTTCCCAAATAGCAATCTCTGTGTGGGCATGCCCAGTAGACACCCTTTGCTGACCCCACCTTAACCACTCACCCATCTGCCGCCTGTGCCTGAGCCCACCATGCTGCCACACCCAGCTACCTGCTATTCTCAGCTAGGTTGAGGTGACGTTTGATGTCCAGCAGCACCTCCTTGAGGAAGACCAGCCGTTTTTCCTCAAATTGCTGGCACTGTTCAAACACCTGCTCCATGCCCTCCATGTACTGGGGTGTGGTCTTGCCCACTTCATCTAGCACCTTCTCATACTTCTCCTGCGTCTGTAGGCACCAAGAAGAAGGGAGGGTGAGATCCAAGCCGGCAGCTGCCAGCCACCACCCAGTCCCAGGGGCCCTCGAGCCTAGCCCGCCGGCACCTTCTGCACATCCTGCTTGCACTTGTCCACTTTGTCCTGAAGCTTCTTCTGCTGCTCGGGTGTGACTGACTGCTCCGTCTTGCTGTTCATCTCCCGTGTCACGGCCAGCTTCTCCTCTTTGCAGGCCAGATGGTAGGCCTTCTTGGCTGCCTCCAGCTGTGGGGAGGGGAGGTGGGGGGCAGGCCTCCTACTTGTGAGCAGGAGCAAACATGGTTACTCGTCAAGCCCTCCCACCTGCCCGCTCGGCCAGGGGCCGTGAGCACAGTTTTAACAGGCAGAAGGATGCAGGCCCTGCCTCCAGGCATTTGGGAGCAGTGCCCACCCATCTATGGGGTTTCCCTGCATGGCACTGCCTGCCGCCCCTGGGACGCGCTCCTGGGGAGCACTGCAGTACCTGCCTGTCTGTGGCTACTTCTTCCTGGAAGGCAGTCCTGCTCCCCCATGGACACAACCCGAGGCAGTGCACCGCCACCCGCTCTACAGACACCCTCCCTCTGACAGACTGGCCCTCTGAGTTCAGCCGCCCACCCTTGCCCACGGGGCACCTCCTTCATCTTCTTGGCCCACGGCTTCTGGGCCTTGCGGAAGCCATCTTCAGCCTCCTTGGTCTCCTTGAAGCCGCCCATGATCTGCTTGTGATAGGCGTCCTTCTGCCAGTTCTTGACCTTCTCCAGGTCCTCATTCAGTAGGTTGTTCTTCACCTCCTGGTGCAGTTCGCTCACCTTGTCCGCCTCCGTCATGATGGCACCCCAGGCCCGCTCCAGGCTGCCATACTGTGGGCCTGAGGAAACGGCCATGGGGTCGTGAGGCCTTCATGACCCCCTGCCTGGAGGGCCCCCTCACACCTCTTTTCTCAGAGGCTTTCCCCATACTTCCCAGGGCAGCAGAAACACCCTCCTCTGCTCTCCCTACAGTTTTCTTCATCCTCCAGGGTGTAAGTACAGCCACCTCCTCCAGGAAGCCTTCTCTGAATGCTCTATCACACCTCAGCCTGCAGCCCTCAATCAATTCTTCTTAAACAATTGCCTCTGTGTCTACTCCCTATCTTCCCTGTCAGTTTGTGAGCCCCTTGGGGCCAGTCTCGACCCTGTGAGCTCTCACAAACCCAGCATGGCACAAGGCACACAGTAGGTACTCCAGGAATGTTGGTTGAATGCAAAACTGAAGAACCAACTGGTGACAGATACCAGGAGGCCACTGGGACCAGACATCCCACAGTCTGTTTCTCTGTAGACTGGCATCAACTCCGTGCCAGGCACTGTGCTGGGCAGTACAGGCCCAGCCCTTGCCCTCATGGGATTTAGAGTCTAGTGGAAGAGAAAAATATTAACCAATACATGCAAACTTTACTTGAAACTGTTCTAGATTAAAGGAATCAAGAGACATGACAGCTGAATGCGGTATCTGGTTCTGGACTGGATTCTGGGCCAGCAAACAACTGCTATAATAAAAGTTGTATATGGGCCATATTAAATGTCCTGAATTTGATAGCTGAGCTATGGTTGTATAAGTCAATGTTCTTATTCTCAGGAGATACATGAAGAATTTAGGGTGAAGAAGCATATCTCCAGTTTAAATGTTTCCAAAAATATGCATACAAATGGGGATAAAACAAATATAGTAAAAAGTTTGGGGGTTTTATTTGTTTTTTAAAATCCCACCTAAAGTTGTACAAAGTGGAGCTGAAGTGCAGGGAGGCCTGGTTGGTCTGGGAGGGGAGGAGGGCTGATACCGGCCAGTGCCTGTAAGGGCCCTGAGGATGGAGCTGCAGGTGCATTCAGGTGGCTGGGTGCTCCCAGGACCCAGACAGTGGGGTGAGGGCCTGGGGCGTGCGCACGGGATGGGATGGGGCGGGGGGCGGGGGGGCACCTTTCTCGATGAGCTGGCGCCAGCGCTTGGCCCAGTCTGTGAGCTGCTGCCCGTAGGCCTTCTCGATCTTGGCGCGCTCCTGCACGCAGTTCATCAGGTCGTTGCACAGGCGGTGCCCGTCATCGATGCGCTTCACTGTCCGCTTGTAGTTCCCCACCTGGTGGCCAAGCAGCGCGCAGGATTCCCACGGGCTCTCCGCGTCCCAGGTCCACCCGCCCGCCCGCCCTGGCCGCGGCGTCCTGCAGAGGGCGCCAGTCACTGCCATCCCCGTGTGGTTCCAGACCCTCTGGCTTTTCCAAGGATTTGGCACCCCGCGTCACACACCCCAGTGTCTATATACTCCCTCACCCCACTTTAAACATAATGTTGCTGCTGCCACAAAATGCAGGTTTTTCATAATTTGGACTTCAGCCAAATGAATTATTCATTTTGTTCTTGTGAGCTACATCTATGATATTTATATAGTCATAAGCGCTGAGTTGAGCTGCAACTTCTTGACATAATATTATGTTTTGTAGACATCTCATTAAACATGCAATAATTTAGGTTTGGCAGTTTTCACTTTGGGTTTCATAAGCCAATAGAAAAATCATTTCTGGGTTTCAAATATTTTGGGAGGCTCTGAAATACTGGCCTGTCTCCACCACTATGTCACTGCGGGGCTCTCCGAACTCACTCCATTTCCCTGGGACCAGTGCTCTGCCCTCTTCTCACTTCGCAGGGGAGGGGCGGGAGCAGCTGTGAAAAGCTGTGAGCACTGTCAAGTGTGCACCTGCTCACGTAAAGGGCCGGGACTCTGAGCCAGGGCCCCCAGAGCAGAGGGTCTAGAGGGGCCTGCCCTACATCACGAAATACCATGGATGTCTCCAGGGGCAGCTGTGGGGCAGAGGGGCTTTGGGCTCGGTGGGTGGTAGCAGCCTATTGGACGTGGAGGGCTTTGGAGAGGCCTGAGGGGCTGGGGAGCCTGAGGTCATGCAGTGGGTTGGAGCCTGGGCCTCCACAAAGCCAGGCTGTCTGGTCCCCAGGACCTGGGGAGTATCAAAGCCTCACCTCCCAGAAGCTGTCAGTGGTCTCCTCCGGAGCTAGGGAGGCCTCATCGTAGGAGCCGGACATGGTGTGGCCGTCGGAGGATGGACAGGTGTGAAGCGGCAGTCAGCAGGCTGGGGTGCTCATGGGCTGGAGGGCAGGAGAAAGATCCCTGGAGATGAGGGACGTGTCCGACATGTCCCACTCCAGGCCTGGGCCCCAACTTGCTGTGGAGATGAGGGCTTCACAGGCATAAGCCTTTCATTGGGATCGGGCCTGGCTCACCATCCCAAGGGTAACCCCAAGAGTCTCCTTGAAGCACCCCTTGTGCCTACCTCCCCATCTCTCCTCCACACGCCCTTCACTCCATCTCCTCTCCCCCAAATCCATCCTCCAGCTCCAGCGTGGGCACCTCTTCTCAGAAGCATGCCCAGCCACGAGAACCATGGTGCCCGCCACCATTTCGTGTTCCTGGACTCAGCTAAAAGTTAGGGCCACACAATTGCATATCTGCTTATTATAAATCTGCGGTTTGCTTTGTAGACACACAGGTCTTCAAAGCCAGCACTCAGGCTTATCTTTGAGCATGTCCTGCACCCCGCTCTCGGGCCTCATACCCTGTAGGACACAGTAGAGCTCAATAAACCCCAGCTGGCTTCTCAGTCTGACCCTCCAAGCACTGCCCATCCCAACGCAGCTGGATCCTTACACCAGGTCCAAAACACCCGCCTAAGCTCCCAGTCCCACCCCAACCAGCGCAGAGCCCCTGGTACGTCCTCCCCAAACCTCCCACCTGGAGCCTGGACCCCAGCCCCCTAGGAAACTGGCTGCAGGCCTCCTCCTACCTCTCACCCAGGCTGAAGTCCTCCTCAGTTTCCTGAGTTGCTGGGCCTTGTAAATGCCCTTCTGACTGCCCTGTGCCCAGCCTCAAAGGCCTCAATTAGCAGCTTCTACGTCCCTAAGTCCCAGACATGCAGCTTCCTGGCCCAGAGGTCAGACCACTGCCATCTGTGAGCGTCAGGCAGCTGTGTGTGGCCTGGAACTGTCCACCGGCATCATAGCCATAGCGTCAGGGCTGCCCAATCTAGGCCACGTGCTGCCCCAGGGCTGGGGCAGGCGCTGCCCTACTCCCATCCCCCACCCAGGCCTCACTGTCACCCCAGGCAAGAATGGCTCAGTCATCAGGAGACTGGACCCAGAGGGCCAGGGGCCTGGTCTTCAATGGAGCAGCAAGGCTGAACAAGGCCTGACCCCACTACAAGCTGACAGCCTCCGCCGGGGTCACCTCCCTGACTGCACTGTCTCCTCAGGGACTGGGAGCCCTAACCAATGAGGACACTTGGGGGAGTGCTGGCCTCTGCAAGATTCGGCCCAGACTGGGGGCCTGGGAGCAGGTGCACCAACACGTGAGGACCCTAGGGCAAGGACACCCCGCCCTCTGTGCCCCCCCCCCCCCAGGGCCAGTGCTCTTTCCCGTCAGCCAGCAGCCTCCTCGCATCTCTCAGGCACGGATATAGTTTAGTTTGGTCCTCCCCCTTTGCAAACACTCACTTTCCCACAAACCACCCCCCGTGGAGGTGGGTGGGAGAGAGGGCAGCTGGAATTTATCAAAGAACAAAGAAATGAGTCTGAAGGTTTTTTTAATTTGGCACTTTGCACTTATAAAGCAGTGCTTGCTTCATGAAGCAAAGGCAGGGATATTTGATGAAGGACTTTCAGCCCTGTTAGGTAAGTATCCCTGGGCCAGAACCATCTAGAACCCTTGAAGTCACATAGAACTTGGGGACTCCCACAGTGTGCGGCTGTTGAGGGGGACTCCCCCACCGAGTGAAGGTCGAGCCCACTCCTGCTAGGAGGGAAGTGACTTGACACCACCTTGGTGTCCTTTCTCACAGTCACAGAGGTACACGTCCCTTACCCAGCCGCACCCTGTGGTCCTAGACATGCACTTTCCAGCCAGCTGGGCAGACTGCTGCTGGCTGGGTTTACTGCAGCTCCGCCAGGAACAGCGCGCGGCAGGTGAGGGGCACAGGCCTGCAGCAGAACGCTCCCCACCCACGTCACCCGCCAGAGCTCGAGGTGCGGGGCAGCGTGGCTGCACATGCTCGGGCTGTCTGGGAGGCAGGCGGCTGGAAACACATGAGCGGGAATATTTTTGGAGAGCTGGTAGCAGTGGCTGCACTCAGCGTGCTGGTGGCTGGGGGATGGGGGGATTTTTCACTGGGAGATTTTGCCTTGTGTGCATAAACTGCATTTTTTAAAACCCTCCAGCCTGTGTTGAGGAAAGCAGAGGAGCTGGGGCCAGGACCGAGGCGCACTTGAAGCGAGGAGTGGGGGGCAGAGCAGCTGAGACCCGGCATGTCAGGCTGGAAGGACTGCATGACCGCAGAGACCACTGGCCGCCTGGTGCAGACCCAGGCACAGGGGCCTTGCTGTGGTCCCTCCTCCATGCAGGAAGCGGATGGGTCCCCCGGCTCCCAGATGAGAGAGCATGTGTAGCAGGAAAGCTCTAGGCTTGGGTCCTGCTCTGCCACCAACTGTGTGTAACCTTGAGCAAGTCACGTGGTCTTGCTGGGTCCTGTCAGAAATGAGGATGACTCGGCCCAGCTTAAGGATTAGACGGGATGGAGAGAGTCCGGCTCACTCTGGCCCCGGCTGCACCCATGAGGCGGCTCAGGGCGGGCAGGGCAAGTGAGCCCCAGCACGTAAGGCCAGACACACCACCCCACCTTCCCCTGCCTCACACCCCCACCCTGGGGCAGCAGAGGCTCAACCCTTACCACTGCCATGTCTTCCACTAGGGAGCTGCGACTCTGCCAGGAAGCAAGCCCAGCGCTCCCTTAGGTCTCCTCAGCCCAGCAAGTGGGCACAGTGCCCATCTGGCTTTCTGAGGCCCCCGAAAGCCCTTTATCAGTAATAATAGCTGGCATTTACAGAGCACACATTTGGTGCCAAGGACAGTTCACAGGTCTTAACCCCTCTCCCCTCACCACAGCCCTGTGAGGTGGGCTGCCCTCGCCCCCACCGCAGAGAGCGCCAGGGCCGCAGCGTGACTGAGCCGGCACTCTCACTGTGGATCTGTCGCCCCTGCTGTCGGGGGTGGCAGTCCCATTTCAGCGTGGGCCCTCCCTGTGTGGAGCCGGCCTGTCTCACCCCGGCCTGCAGAATGGGGCTCGGGCTCGGGCTCCTGCTCTGCCACCTGCCAGGGAGAGCCTGGCCAAGTCCCCTGGGGGCTCAGTTTCCTAACTCATATGATGGAAAACAATACTTGAGTCTGTTTTGAAGATCAAATGGTAGAAGGGTAGTAAGCTCTTTTTGAAAAACACAGAACACTATGGAAATGTGAGTTTTCATGCTGGCCTGGACCTGTCCTCTGGGAACAAAGGGGTCCCAGGATAAAAAGGGTCGCTCTCAGGCCCCAGGCCTACTGCCGGCTGCTTCTGAAAGACCCTGGAGGGCAGCGGCCTTGGCCGTGTCCCATCTACCAAGAGGGGACAAAGGAATTAAGAGCAGGAGCCCACAGAGGGCAGGCCTGGCATGCACGGCACTGTAAGTTCCTACGTCATCACTAACCACAGGCCTTGGAATACCACATTCTCTCTCCCCCTCCGCAAAGGCCCCTCACCTCCCTGCAGAAGCCTCTTCATGGTCCCCCCCCCCCCCCCCCGTGACATTGTCTCTCACTCACTCCCTGCCCCCACAGCAGCCAGAGGGAAACTGGTAAAACGTGTCAGATCCCACCACTGGCCTCCTCAGAATCCTCCAGAGACTCCCCATTTTCTAGGTGAAAGTCCAATTCTTTGCCAGGAGGCCCTACGGTCGCACCCCTTACCCCTCTGCCCTCACCTCCTACCACCACGCTCACTCTCCTCCAGCTCCACTGATTTCCTTGCTGTTCTAACCCCAGGCCGCCCCCCCGATTTCCAGGTCCACGCAAATGCCTTAACCTCCCCACTTAAACTTGCAGTTCTGTTTCCACTCCCAACACCCCACCCCGTTCTCCCTGTCTCCCGTCATTCTCCTCCACAGCTCCTGTGGCCGCCTGGCAGGCCAGCACTGGAGTACCATGCATGTGGTGTGGTCCTCGCCCACTGGAATGTCAGCTCTATAAGGTCAGTGACGGCCTGTCTGGTTCTCTGCTGTATTTCTAGCATCCAGAGCAGTTCCTGACACAGAGTAAACACATGACCATTTTTGTTCCAAGAATGAATTCCAAAAACCTTCTGGAACATTCATTCATTAAACAGCAGAATCACTGAATTCTGTGCCCTAGAGCCAAACAGTCACCTGCACACAGTTGGCATTTAATACATGTTGGTAATGATGGTGATACAACCAAGAGCCAGAATCCCACAAGGGGTGGTCCCAGGTCCCACCTGTCCTGTTTCCAGGCCCCCTGCTTCTCCTGGCATCCCCTCCCCCACCTCTTGGTCAACCATCGGGGTCCAGTTCCAGGGTGTCTTTCTCCTCAATCCCCCAGGGCAATTCTGCGCCCAGGCTGGGCCCCCTCCGCAGGGACCCTGCAGCTTGCAGACGGAATAGGTGCCAACAGCCTCGGCTGTCACGTTACCCCCTCTTCGCTCTCCCTTTAGAGCAGTGGTCTCAACCTTCCTAATGCCGCGGCCCTTTCATACAGTTCCTCATGTTGTGGTGACCCCCAACCATAAAATTATTTTTGTTGCTACTTCATAACTGTAATTTTGCTACTGTTATGAATCGCCATAGGAAATATGTGTTTTCCGATGGTCTTAGGCGACCCCTGTGAAAGCGTCGTTCGACCCCCAAAGGGGTCGTGACCCACAGGTTGAGAACTGCTGCTTTAGAGCAACTACAATAACCATTTTTAAAAAATCCTCACCCGAGGATATTTTTTCATTGATTTTTAGATAGAATGGGAGGGGAGAGGAGAGAGGGAGGGAGAGGTAGAGACATCAATGTGAGAGAAACACATGGACTGGTTGCCTCCTTCACGACCCCAACCAGGGATCAAACCTGCAACCAAGGTATGTGCCCTTAACTGGGAATCAAACCTGAGACTCTCTGGTCTGCCGGCTGATGCTCTAACCCCTGAGCCACACTGGCCAGGGCAACAATAACCATTTTTGAGTACCTACTATGCTACAGCCTCTTCATACATAACCCTCACAGCA